ACTTTAAAATATTTTAAAAGTAGAGTATTGTCCTTTTATGCCTCCCTGGATTAACCACTGTTAATATAGCTTGGAGTATATTCTTTCAAACATTTTTCTTACATATACTGTATAGGAATATATGCTGTTTACATTCAAACATAATTGTCTTTGCTTTTATAAAGATTGGATCATACTATGCAAAATTTTCCTCAACTAGCTTTTTCCACTTGGTTTGTCATGGCGGCCCTTCCATTCAGAACATGGGACTTTTTCTCAATCTCTTTAATGGCAAGGTATAATATTTCATAGAATAATAAACCAGTTCTCTCCTGGTGAACGTTTCGGTTTTACCATTTTTTTCACTATTACAAAAAACATTACAAATTAGCAGCCTTATAACATAGACACTTACCCAGTTGTATAAGTGTTCTGTCAGGCAGGCTCCTAAAAGTGGAACCGCTGGGCAGAGGGTGTGCAATTTCTAAACCATTCTAAACAATTTGCAGTGATTATTTCACTCGGTCTTTATCACACTCCTCTCCACTTTACAAACGAGGAACTGAGGCATGGAGAGGTTGGAATCACCATGTTAATCCAAGCATAGCCAGAAATCAAGGTGTTTGTTGAATATCTATTTTTTATCATTTTGTCATTCAGGGGCTCAGTGTGGAAGAGAAGATATATTTTCACTGTCTACTCAGATAATTTATAATTAAGAAAGTTAATAGTTGGGGTAGATTTCTAATTGTGAAAGGGTGATAAAAACTTTTATAAGTATTTGAATCCTAGTGTGTCTGCCATATCTCTGATTTCTTTTAAGCCTTTAAATACTTTTTTGCATTTTTTGGTATAAGTTTTTGAATTTCTGTAATTTTAGATATTGAAGTGGCTTGTTACGGTTATGAAGGCATTGATGCTGTAAAAGAAGCCCTGAGAGCAGGTTTGAATTGTTCTACAGAAACCATGCCCATCAAGGTGAGTAGTTCGTTTTCTCTCTCCCTGCTAAAATACCATCCTAAACCAAATCATTCTTTTTATGATCATATTTCATAACAAGCATTAAGGATAAATGGTTCTCGGTGATGTTGTCTAAGGGATGCTACTGCTAGTGTCACAGTGGATAAAGATTTCGATTCGTATTTAGTGCAAGAGGGGGCCAGCTGTGCGAAACTTAAGAGTTCTGAGTCCATAATGCTCCTAGGACCTTGAAACGGGTAACATATTCTCTCGTATTCACACATATCTTTTAGGAGTTTGGTCTCAATCTTTTAAGCAGTAAAATTAACCAGATGGTTGTTATTCACAATCTCTCAGATTTTTCTTCCATCAGTTTACTTTAAAACCAAGTAAGAATTTTTGTTTGTTTTCGAGACAAATTATCTATTCTGATGATGGCTACAGTTAGTTTAGCTACCAAAGACAACTGGAAGTTATAATTCTACATATTTGGTATTGCAGTAGACTGTTTATACTGGATTATATCACTTGTATCAATTCACTTTTGCTAACAGACCACCCCCAAGTTGCTGACTTACAGGATTGGAAATTAAGTTTTGGGGTGATTTTTTTTTTTGTAAGATTTTATTTATTTATCTGAGAGAGAGAGAATGAGAGATAGCACGAGAGGGAAGAGGGTCAGAGGGAGAAGCAGACTTCCTGCTGAGCAGGGAGCCCGATGTGGGACTTGATCCCGGGACTCCAGGATCATGACCTGAGCCAAAGGCAGTCGCTTAACCAACTGAGCCACCCAGGCGCCCTGGGGTGATTTATTAAGGCAGCAGAAAGCAAGAGTTCTTAAACATCCTAATAGTTTTGTGTTATATAGGTATGTTCATAATGGAATTTTTGTCTTCTTCCTTAGATTAATCTAATAGCTCCTCCTCGGTATGTGATGACTACAACAACCCTGGAGAGAACAGAAGGGCTCTCTGTTCTCAATCAAGCTATGGCTGTTATTAAAGAAAAGATTGAGGAAAAGAGGGGAGTCTTCAATGTTCAAATGGAGGTAAGATCTATAGTGTTTCTGCCTTTTTCTTAAAATATGTAAGAAATTTATGGGCTCCTGCCTGGCTCAGTCGGTAGAGCATGCAACTCTTGATCTCAGGGTTGTGAGTTCAGACCCCATGTTGGGGTTAGAGATTACGATTGATCGATCAATAGATAGATATAGATAAGAAATTTAAGTCATCTAAATGATTTGCATTCTAAAATCTTTAATCAAAAAAAATAAAATCCTTAATCACGGCCTTTCAAAACATGAGATATATTATGTAGGATTATAACACTGCTAAGCCTAAAATAATCATTGACTCAGAGGGTTCTAAAAGGGCTTCTTATGAGTAAATGAGAACTGTCATGTGATGGTTATTCACGACTGAGGTCACTGATGGTGTTAGGTTTATGCCCCCGCCAAAAGAAAAAATTAGGCAACAAAAATGAGTGATTGATTATTGTCAGAATTTAATACGGAAGGCTTAAAATTTGATCTGAGGATTAGAAACAGCATTAGTTTATTTTCCTCATCTCAACAAAAATGAAACCTATTTAGAAAGAAATAGTAATTTATTTTGAATCCAGAAGATGCATTTTTACAAGACATCTTGTGGGTTTGAAAGATACAGCCACTGAGATTATATTTTTTCAGTTTTGGCTTATAGAAATAACAGGAATATTCTGTCTTACTAAACATACATTTCTTTTTCCTAGATTGTGTTACTCTCATCCATTTCTCCCAATATTTATCTAATGGAATTTATTAATGATGCAGTAGCCCTCAAAAATGAACAGATGGAGCAGAGTTGTTAGGACAGGTGGTTCTTTAAAAAGAGTTAAAATACTAGGCAGTAATAGTGTTGAAGTGGAATTTGCATACTGTTGAACTACCTCACTTTGAAATGATGCCTCTGCTTCCACAGCCTAAAGTGGTCACAGATACAGATGAGACCGAACTTGCAAGGCAGCTTGAGAGGCTTGAAAGAGAGAATGCAGAAGTGGATGGAGATGATGATGCAGAAGAAATGGAAGCCAAAGCCGAAGATTAACTTTGTGGGAAACAGTCCAGTTTAAGGAACACAAAGCAGCCCTTCCTGGCTGTAAACCCTAGACTTGAAAGTTTTCCAGTATTGAAAACTTCAAAGCTGAATATTTTTTATTTCCAAGTATTTAAATGTTCCAACAGACCAAAACGTGACATGTTTCATGCCCTCCTAAAAGTCAGCTGTTTTCACACAAGAGCTCCAACATTCAGCAGTTTTTAAGGGAGTGGGCCTAACTTCACTAGAGACAAATCTTTAAGAACAGTCATAAAATTGAGCTTGTGGTTTCCATTTCTGATGTCTCCAGATTGGCACCCCTTTGTAGTTCAGTGCCTCCCTGAGATTTACCAGGGGCACCCAAAGCAAATAGCCTCAACCTTTCTATATAAAATGTATCAAGCAAACATTAAATAAATTTCTGGGATATTTAACTATAGGCTTCTTCCTTCTTGTCACCAGTTAAAAGCATTATGATTATTAAGACCCTAATTCTATTACTTCCATTTTAGTCTAGATGTAGAAATACAGGGGCAGGTGACCAAAAGATCTATATAGCGGATCCTTTCAAAAGGAGGGTGTAGAGAAAATAATTTTAACCACAGTTAAAGTTGACTCTTAGGGGAAAAAAGCCTTAAAATGCGAATTTTAAAATTACATAGGATGTGTGCCTTTTACCAATATATGGTAAATATTGAACAATATATGGTATGAGAACAATATATGGTATGAGGGAGAATTTATCACACTGGTCCTTGTTGGTGTACTAAGCTGCTTTCCCTGAGTTTGTAATTCAGGATGGTGAAGTTTTTTGTTTTCTTTTGTTTTTAAAGATGCTGCTGCTTTAGTTATTTAGAGTATCATTGCCCAACTTTTGATTTTTTTTCCCCCATTAACATATTCACTAGGTGCCACCTAGAGCTTCAGCTCTTTATAACGAATAGGGATCTGATTAAACACAATTGAAATGATTTTTCTACATTTCCATCGTTTTTGTGTTTAAGAGCTAATTGTTTAAAAGGTATATGAATCTAAAGGTAAATAAATAATAAAAGTAAATAGATTTCATAGATGACACATGGTTAGAAGTTACAGCTACATTAGCCAGGGTGTAGAAAGTGTTGAGTTACTTAGGTCTTTTTCATAGATTTAATCTCTTAGGATACTTGAGGTACTAGATTTATTTTATTAATTATTCCTAAGAATAGCTATTTAAATACTTAAAAGATTAAACCTAACCCACCTTAACTGAGTACTAGACTTAATTCAATATTAAAGGGACTGGAAAATAGAAGTGTGTTGGTGAGACAGTTTATGCCATATTTGGTTTGTCCCTGTTTAAGCAGCTTTTTAAATCCACAAGTATAACCTCATGACTACTGCCACGAGGTAGCCATGATTGCTAGTACATGCCATACTGGGAATATTTAGAGGAGGATCTAGGTGTACTCAAAATTGGCACATGATTTTCATTTTGGTCTTTTTGAGGAGTCAGAAAACAAGTCTATAAAGTTCGTGGCATCAAGAATGTCCTCAGTATATAACAGGTGCTCCTTAAATGTTTGTTGTAGGCAGGGGAATTGAATTGAACTTCCACTTTGTTTCCTGAATTTTTTACACTTCAAGGCATAACCGTTGAGAAATACTGGTGACCTCCATGGTGAGTGATTTTTATCCCATGCAAGCCTTTCGCTCAGTTCCACAACAGTTTTGCAAAATTTATGACCCTTCCCAGAGAAAAGATTAATACCTCACTGATACCATGAAGGAAAGACCTAATTAAACTTAAAGCATACATACCTGCTAACCTATCACTTTTCAAATATGAGGACAGGCTACACACCCAGCTCTAAGTTACCTGAGGAACAGATTGACAAAGACAACTGACCAGTTTATCAGTTTATCCAAATCTCGGATCACCATACAAAGACTTTTCATTAAAAATTGACAATTTCATCTCCCCATTCTGCCTGTGCGTTAAAGTGGTTATCAACTCATACAGCTGAAAATCAGCAATAGTTCGGGTCTTGTTTAATCATAACTGAAAGTCAAAAGTAGCTGAGAAAAAAATGGGAACATACATTTTCATTTGCTGTGTTCTGTAGCAAAACAAGACAACCAGTATGTACATGGATGATACTCATTTAGTGAGAACCTACAGAGACATGCTAGGCATTGCGGTTATTACTCAGCTGCCATCCTTTCAAACACTCTTCACCTAGCTACTTTTGTGTGAAGAACCATTATATTAAAATGGTTTGGGATTTTTTAAAAATCCAAGTACTAGTACTTTGGCAAGAGTTGCCTCAAGGTGATGGCCATCTACTTTTTCAACACACAAAGATTCTGATACCCCTATACAGAACAGGGTACAATTGTGCCAATTTGGGAGTCAAGCCATCAAACCAAATGCAGTTTAATTTAGATAAACACCTGTTGATATTCAAAGAGCAATAAATAGTTCCAGGGACATTAGACCTTGGTGAAATGCCAAATGGAAAATGGTGCTTTAAAAGGCAGTCTCTTACAATGTAAGGAATAAAATAAAACCTCATTAGCTTGGAATTCCTGATCATGCAGGTCAGGTATTCAAAACAAGATTAAGAGGAGACAGTTCACACTATTTAAAAGGAAAATTTTTTCCTTAAGCACTTTGGAAGTATCTACTCCCCATAAATGTAAGTTACATATCTATTCATTAAAGGAAGTCTAAGCACTTGTACTTGGCAAGAATGCTGGCAGTAGCTTGTGCCAGATTACTGTATAAACTTGAAAGTAATAAAAATGTTTTTAAAGATATTGTATGATACAGACTTTTCACTACTTCAGATTAACCTCCCAACTGGTGAAGCTTCTTGGTACCTATGTCTCAGTTAATGTTCACTTTAAAACCAAAATTTCATTCCCTAATTATTTTACCATTTACATCTTTCTCTGTCCTTTAGCAGCTCCTGCTGTGTGTCTCTTTCTGAATTGCCATTTTTCATAGAAATGCTGTAGTTTTACTCTGTTGTATGTGTGACTAATCTCCAACTGAGTCCATGATTTCTGTAGTGTATACCTATGCAGGCTTATTTTTCAAAGCAAAACAATGTTCAAAATTTTGCCACTATCCCCCATTTTAAGATGAAGCATGTCTTAGTGACAGAGATCACTTGAGATATTTTCATAATCTTACATAATTTGAATAGCCTCAAGCATGAAAAACCTTTGAAAACTACAAAAACTTTACCCAGGAATTCTAATAGCTAGAAATGTCTGTTTTTATTCATTCCAGAGAAGGAGTTAGTTCTTGACAGCATTTCAGAGAAAGCCAACATGAGACTAATGTTTTATTTAGTATTACAATATGGCTAGTTAGTGTTACAACAGGAAAACCTACTTTGGTGCCGGAGGAATGGCTAGCTGTGAGGATGGGTGAAAGTCAAGATGCTGACGCTTAACGGCGATTCTAGCATTTCCAGGCTGTTAACAGGAAGGTGGGGAAGGAAATAGCACCACTGCCAATTGTGAGCAAAGGAACTCCAGTCTCACTGCAAAGCCATACAAAATATACAGCGGCTAAAAGTCTTAACACACTCTCATTCTGCAGGAAATCCTGTCTGTACCATTCTGGTAGGAGGGAGGAATCCTGTCCTGTTCCTTTGGGAACACATTTCCTTGTCACGTTAGCTTTTTGATAGCTTCAATCCACTCAGTTCGCTCAGCCCTGCTGCTGGCCTGGATATAATAGTGTGTGTCATCCTTGGTGATCACTTTGAAGAGATTCCCCTGGACATTCCCTTTAACCCCTAGACAGAAGAGAAATTTGTGAATATCCGTGTCTGCTTTCAGCTAGAAGTCAAACTGAGCCACAAACAAAAATACACACGATGAAGTATTTCTTAAATACCAATGTATGTGGTTAGGGAATCCCACCAGATGCCTGCTTTCCTCTTTTCCTCCTTTCCACTCCCCGTTCCTCTGCTGTGCCCTCTTGGCCTGCTGCCTACCCTAACCACAGATCTACAGTTCCATTCACATCCAAGAATCCAGAATGTTCATGTTAAAAGTAGGCACAGATTTGGGACTTGACTTTAACTTGTTTAGCTTCTTTGAACCTCAGTTTCCACATCCATAAAATGGGAATAACACTGTCTTTCTTAGCTGGCTATTGTGAAATTAGTGTGCTAATAGATACTAACGTGTGTTGCTAACCCTTAAACAGTGTGTAGGCTGCTATTCTTAGGTGGAAGCTTATCTGCCAGTACGCACAGAAACCGAGGGGAAAGAATACCAGAGATAAGGAGTATTTCGTTGTGTTGTTAAAACACTGAGAAGACCCCACACGCCCTTTTCCCTCATTCTGAAATTGGCTCTAAAACTCAGGCTATTCATCGTCTCACTGAGACCGTCTCACTGAGCCCCCGTCGCTCGGTCCGTCGGCAGAGCGCCGCTGTGAGAGCGACGGGCGGGGAGCACCCCGAGGCCTGCAGGCCGGCCCGGAGCTGCACCTTACCAGTGGGAACGCCGTTATCCTCCAGAGCAGACACGAGTGAGCCACGAAGAGAAAACCCACCCACTGGCCGGTTCTCCTCCTGCAGCAGAAAGAATTCCTAATGAGGCATAGTGTGAATGCACAAAAGGGAGAAAGGAGTTGCCCTCGTGCCTGAAACCACCCTGAGGCCAGCTGACGGAGTCAGTGAGAGTCATCGGTAACAGATGAGGCCGAATTTGGACATCACGTGGCCATGTTACATGCACCCTAAGGAAGTCTGCGCTTCGTTTCACTGCCGATGGCCGGCAGGGCCACACTCCTCCCTGGCCCCCCCGGCCCTCCCTGGCGTCTGCCAGGGTCCCAGAGGGCTCCTTCTCACTGCTTCAGGCACTCCCCTTAGCGCGGGGATTCTTGACAAGCTTGGTGAGGGAGGAACTGCCCACTCTTCGATATTTCAAAAACTGAATGAAAATCATACATCTACCAAGACAAGGCTGGACAGGCCAGCTCAAAGACCATTTATCTTTGGTTTTGACTGGAATTCGATCAACTCATCATACAATAATACTTATTTTCTGAAACTCGGAGTAGCAATTCTTTGGTTAGAATCAAATCATAATTAATCATAGAATCAAATCATTACTAATCACAATTAGTAAATTATGGCTTAAACAGTACATGATAAAAGAAACTTTCCGCAACATCAGTGGGGACAACGGGTTGAGGGGCAGAATTCATGAGATCTCCGCACAGAGAGGGGTGAAGAGGCTGGGGAGCACCAGTTAGGAGTCTCCTTTATCAGCCCACCCCACCTTCCCCAGCCCCACAAAGAGCTTTGGAGAAACTAAAAGATGCTTTCCTCTCAGAATAATGATAAGCCTCAGCAAAGGCAACAGCGTGCTGAGAGAAAGAAATGATCAGACCGCTGAGTGTGGCTTGGATCATGGGAGGAAAGGCATAGA